GTGAGGCTGATTGCAAAACCATCTCCAATTCTTCACCTCTGCCTGTGCCCAGAGACTTTGCCATGCAGTTTTGCCCTGCTCTCTCCCCCACTCCATACCCCTTATTTGGACCCATGGATGTCATCTTTAGCCAAGGCAAAGTCACCAGATGTGACACAAGCAGGGTTTGCTTAGCACTCACATGATTGAGTTTGGTTTTCCCCTTAGTGTGTCTCCATCATTGCCTGAAAACACAGCCCTGGGGGAAAGAGCAGAAAATTCCAGCCAACAAAATGTCAAACTTCCAACATGGAAGCAAGGGCAGGGAGCGTCAGAAGACCTCACAACGGCCACCTGAGAGAAGCAGTCACTCAGGGAGCCTTGTACGCTAGGGAGACTGATGGTTAAGCAGTGTTATTAGGATCACAGTGGACTCTAGATGATGGAGTACTCCATGTAAACCCATGCTCTCCTTCCTGGTAGACACAGACTCCAAGCCCATTTGCATCCTCAGGCCCAATACTTAGTAGGAAGCCAATGAATATTTATTGAATTGGATGTAATGTGATTTTCAAATTTTGCACACCATAGCAGCCTTGAATTCTTTATTTTTAATGTGGGGCTTTTGTTATGCAGTATGAAACTTATCATTTTTCTTGTATGACTCCGAGTGATAGGACTTCCATTAATAGATTGATCCCTTCATTTGTGCCAAGACAGAGGAGAAACCCACTTTAACACAGTCCCACACAAGGCAGGACTCTCTCCAGAGCTGTTGGTGTGTACAAAATAGTAATTAAAACTTATGTATTGCATTGTAAATGTATTACATGCATCCCTTAAATGAATTGTGTGCCCTGAACTATGCTGAGGGCAGAGGTCACTTGGGAGTTAGCTGCTGTCCCTAAACCAGTTTATCGGAGTGCAGAATGAAGAAGCCCAGATCAAAAGATTGTTAAAGATACCAACTCAAATCAAAGAACCTCCATAGCGATGTAGTGGTGGATGGAGGCTTTCTCAGTCACATTTAATTTCTTGGTGTGGCATTTACCATTTAAATTCCTCTTTTACTGCAAACGTATCCACACAAAGGAGACACAAAGCGCTCTGTTTCAGAATTTCTTCTTTAATATATATGGATACATATGCATACGCACGCACATTTGCACACATATGTATTTGCATTAGCTGGGATGGATGGAGGTGAGTGACTGGCTCCAGCATTGAACCCCCTTTGACTTTCACGAGGTGGGAAAAGTCAGCTGGGGTCTCGGCTCTGACGAATTTGCATCTCTTTGAATATGACGCTTGAAAAACCCCAGCGATAGATTAAATTTTGCCAAGGAGAAAATGAGAGAGAGGCTTCCATCTCTCAGGTCTGCTGGGAGGATCTTTATGGTTGATTTACTTTTTAAAAATAAATGTTTCTTTATGTGTTCCCTTCAGTTCCTGCTCAGCCTGCCTCTATCATCCAAGCTGTAACTTGTGTGGGTCCTATCAGCTAGCTAACAGTAAGTCAGCCTGGTTCCCAGTACAAGGTGAAGGGGTATTTCAATCTCAGCTGCATTTACCTTCTGTGTTTTCTGATTAAAATGTGCAAGCAAACCTTGGAATAAACTCTACCTGACATGACTTCTAAAATAATTTATGCCATCTGCAAACCTCCGATGGAGGGATTGATTTGAGTATCTGTCACTGTATTTCAGATGATCAAAAATGGATCATGGCTTTTAGATGAATTTAATGGCCAAGAAGATTCTCTTGAAAAATGTCACCGAGGTTAAAACACACGAGTCCTTGTCTAAAACTACAGAAGAGTGTGATATGGTCTTCTAAAGGTGGACTGCATTTATTGTCAAAATTTGAAAGCGCTCAAATGAAAAGAAAACAAAGCACTTGTAATTAATGAAGCCAGAGAGACCTTCTGTTGCAACATAAACACATCCTATTCTGGTCACACCATATATTTGTACTTTTTAATGTAGGCAAATATCCTAAAGTGATGCAGCTTGGCTTCCTGGTAACCATTACTTGTGACAATGATGACAGCCATGGTGAGGATGATGGTGATGATGGCTGTGATGTCCATGTTGCCAGGAGGAAATTTCTCTCACACTACACATATACACATGCAGGCATCTGTACACCCACCCCCGACATACATGCACAGATGAACACACATACACCCACCCCCATACACACATGTACAGATGAATGCATATAATTTTAATCAATGTATAGCATGCAAGAAGGTTCATTTATAAGGCATCCACATTAAGTTCTAGGAGGACATGTTCTTCAAGGAGCACATGGCAACAGCCTTGTACAGAACACTGGAGGAATGGTCTATCATCATTTAAAGGCATTTCTCTGTTTCTGAACATCAGGGAGTATCATCATTTTACTTCTTGAGTCACACTTTGTGATACAGTTGAAAAGGCACCAAATTCTCACCTATAGTCCTGGGCTTGAGTCTTTGCCTGTGCAATGTGCTATCAGATCCTATTGGATGAGACTTGTACTTTTTGTGTATCTAAGACAAAGTCGGGTACTTCAAAAATTAAAGATGTCATGGGTGTGAACATCTTGGCACAGTTGCTGACAAATTAGGAGTGGCCAGTGACAGTAATTCTTTGCTAATCACTTATACCAGCTAACCTGTTCGGGGCAATGTCATCAGATATGTGGCTTGAAACCATTTGTTCCACATGAGCCCAACAAACAAACCATTACTCATTGTTTTTGACAGACAAGAATAGCAAGGCTCAAGGAGACTCATTGATTTTCTCAGGAGTCTTGGCTGGGCACTGGGAGGATCTGACCAAACTCAGATGCTTCCTTGGTACACAAAGTCTCGGTCACCTTTAAAAGCCCAGCCTGCTAGGGAGTTTAATTCTATAGAGGGCACAAAAGGGACTTTAAGTGGAATTGGCAGGGTTATTTTTCTAAGATAGATCTCCACAGAAACAGTGAGAAGAAGGGATATCTTCAGAAAGGACACTAGGGGCAGGCTTTGTAGGACCTAGTGCCCCATATGACCCAGGGAAGGAGGGTAATACAGAAGGGTTTTGTTTCATCTGCCAGGGCAGGATAGAGGAATGGTCAGGGGTGGATGGTCACCCCCTGGTTGTGGGTGAGTTAGCGCTTAGGTTCCTGATAGATAGCTGTCCATCTGTAACAGGCTGGGCAGTGACTGGTGGTTAATGGTGGAAGCAGAGACATTCACAGGATGAGAGGTCTGGATTTGCATGTTTTGAGTGAAAACGCGGGGTTGACAATGTGGAGATGTCTGGATGTATCTAGGAAAGCTGATGGGAGGGATAATGAGAATGGAACTCAAGGAAAGGTGCTTGTCTGGAGGATGACAATGTGTGATGTGGTTACCAGTCAGGATGGGCTCAGCTATGCTGCAATAACAAGCACCATATACAACTTTTCCATGGCTAAGCATATGAGGACAGTGGTGGTGCATGAAATACATCCCACACTGAAAATGTGAAATGCAGTGGGAAGTGTCACAGCTTCTGTTGTGAATGCCAGTCTGTCTAACTGCCCACATGTTCATTCGGTGTGCTGTGTAGACATTGAGTCCGGTTAATTTTGTTATGTGATGTTTTTACTTATATGCTAGGATTCTTGACAATGAAGATTACTTAAAAAATGCTGAAAGTGGGCAGAGGTCTTCTCTCTCTGGTGACTCAGCAAACCATCCGGGGACACTAATGTCTAGGTAATTGGTTTCTGGGGTGGTTTGGATGTGACTGTCTCCCATGGGCTCATGGGCTTAGTAGCACTGTTTTGGAAGATTGCAGAACCTTAAGACATACAGTCTTGCTGAAGGAAGTAGGTCACCAGGGAGGGTGGTGGTGGGTCTTAAGGGTTTATAGCTTCACCTCACTTCCCATCGACTCTCTGTTTCCTGTTATATCCAATGTGACAAACTAGTGGACTTAATCTCAAATAGGTCTTTTTTCCTTCAGTTGCCACATGGCAGCTACGTGGTCACAGCAGTGGTTACCAATACAGCTTCCAAGAATGTGGCGAGGAGAAGGATGGATGTAGTAGTTTGTTCCACCACAAATTTGCTTTCTGGGGTTTCATTTCCCAGCAGTGAGGAATAGCCTGAAAATATTAAGTGGAACATTCTAGAAGCAATCAAATCACATGCTTAAATGGCACATAATAGAGTGTGCCTTAATTGTTCCATTTTATTATTAGTTACTGTGACCAGTTTATAAATTGAACTTCAACACAGGTGTGTATGTAATAAAGAGAAAAGCACCCATAGGGCCTGGTGTCAGCCAGGGTTTCTAGCATTCTCTGGTGCTCTGGATCTGTGTTGTCACGGATGAGGGGATAGCTGCACACAGACACATATCGTTCAGACGTGAGGAATATCACCTGGGAGCACACCACACAAGCCACAGTGATTACTGACTAATGCCAAACCACGGAGGCCGGACAAGGCAGTAGATGCAGGAAGAAGGAGCATGACAGGTGACACGATCATCTCTACTATCAGCTCGGAGGGACCCCCAAATCCAGTGGGTCCTCAGGCACTGAGCGCAGGGTGGAGGTGTGGTGGGTACTTAGCAGAGACACGCAAGGAGCTGACATCCCTGACCCACTCCAGGAGCTGTGCTGTAGAGTCCAGCAAAGGACGCAGAGGTGTGAATAGTATGGGCTGAACAAGGCCCTTCTGTGTGGTTGGTTCCAGTGGTCCAGACTAACACAGTCAGAATGTTAGTTTGTTCAGCTGATCTTGCTACAGTTGATTCCAGCTTTGTAAGCTATCCAGGCTACCCCAGGAACACCGAGGCATTGGCTGCTTTTAGAAACCAAGGCAGAAGGGTAATTATGAAAAGAAAAGCTTCCTTCACTCAGGGTTCAGCTCAGTTCTCACACCTTGGACACAGGTTTCTGTGCTGTGCCTTGTCACCCAGGGGATTATGACTGGCATAATGTGCTCTGGCCAAGCCTGTTTCTGATCCTGACTGGGCAGAGCCCTGAGACTAAGGGGAGGACCCAGGAGAGAGGACATTGGAGGGCATCCCCAACACCTTGGTCTGGCATCTCAGCCTTGGTTCTGGGAGACGACCTCTGTTCATCATGACGTGAGCCGGGATCTGCTCAGTCTCTTTATGCTGCGATCCTTCCCGAGACTCTCCCTACTGACCCGGGTGAACATCTGTTCTGTTACTGAGGCACCATATTGGATGTTACAATCTTGTTAAATCCTCAGGACAACTGTGTCAAGACCTCTGTGATGTGCAGAATGACCAGGCTTACACAACTCCAGGTGAAAAAACTGGAATTTGGTCTGATTCTGAGGACCATTCTCTTGCGTTTTGGTTGGGGCTTTTACCGTGGGAACAGATTCTTCAGCTACCATTGGTTGAGAGAGGACAGGCAGATGGCAGACAGGACAGCACGTGAGAGGGACACCAGTCATGACTAACGGAACTTCGGAGTAGAAAGAGGGAGCATCGAGTAGAAGTCAGGCTGAGAAAGTGAGGGTTCTGGGGACCCATGGAGAAATTAAGACTGGTGCTATCTGGGGACAGAGTGGCCACAAAGGAGTGAGGAGTTAAAGTGTAGAAAGAAGGAAGGAAGAAGTAATGGGACAAGAAGGAAAGGAATGGAGTGAAGAAGGAAGGGAAGGAGGGAGAAAAGGAGATAGGTTGAAAGAAAGAGAAGCGAGGGAGGATAAAGGGAAGGGAGAGAGGGACAGAAGGGGGGAGGGAGGCCAGGAGGGAGGGGGGAAGGGAAGAAGGGAGGAAGAAAAAAAATTGATGTCCTGAAATTTCTGTTCTCACACCCAGGTGATTTCAGAACTTCTGTTAGACTCGAGGCTTACCATGTGCTATATAAACATGGTCTCCCAGGAAAGCTGTACCACGTTTTGAGACATTTGAGACAAGTGACACAAAAATGCATTTTACTAAGACAAATCTGTGTGCCAGCACCCACAGACACTCCCATGAAATGGACTCCCTGGCTTCCAGGGCTGTGGGGCTCACTAGGGAAGAAGGGGGTGCCAGCAAAGGCTGCATCTCAGATTGAGTGACAAGAGGCTGGGACTTCCCTCTGCTCTTCCCCTCCTGCTATAGCAGAGGGACATCCATGCTTTTTTGATAGGGTGGGGCCCTGGCCAGGCAGACCTCGAGGCCAACAAAACAGGCATTGCCTCGTTCTGTGGTGTCCAGAGGTTTTGCATAGGTATCGCCATCCCACTCATGAGAACACAGTCGTCACTGGGGCTGATGAAGGGCTATCAGAGATGCCATCATTGTACCATCACTGTGGTTCAGAAGGTAAAACGACAATCCCAATAGCCACCCGTCTCAGCAGGGCAGGGTCTGGCCTTGCTCTACGTGAAGCTCCCTCTTCATATCCCTCTCAAGAAAGAAAGCTTGCCGTGGCCCTTACAGGACACGCTGTCTATAAGTGGGCCGCTCTGAATGCCCTTTTGCGGGGTTAATTTCCTTACAAACTATCCCTTCAAGTGCCAACTGGCACAAAGTTTGGGGGAAAAGTAATCTCCTCTTTACCTTTAGTATTTTGAACGAACATCTCACATGGAAAGCTGGCTAGAAATAAGTGCTGCTTTTGCTAATAGAATAAAGCTTGTGTTTAGAAGTAAACAGTGGGCCGAGATGACAATTATACAGACAGGAATGTCTGAAATAAGCCTCGCTTGCAGTCAGACTCCTTGGATGGCACGCCTACATTTAATATGTTGTTCTTATACTCCGTTTCCCTACTTAATTAAAATCATGTACCTAACAGGAGCCATGTTGTAAACAGAATTCATTCTTGAACTCGACTCTATGTACAGCTGTTGGCACAGCTGTGATTCAGTTTCTGGGCCCCCAACAGCTTTGTTCTGGTTTGTATTTTGATCAGTGGCGTCTCTTCACACTCTCTCCAGGTTTCATTCATGAAAAGTCTCTAACTCTGGCCTGCCACCCAGACACTGTTCTTCAGCAATACACTGAGTTTTTCAGGTGCCTGACCCTGGTGTTCTACTGCTCCTGACACAACAACTCAGCCCTTTTATCTTTTAACATTTATTTTTATTCGATTGTACACACAAGTGCATGCCATGACACATGTGTGGAGGTCAGAGGGCAAGGGAGGGGTTGGTTCTCTACTTCCATCATGTGAGTTCTGGGCATAGGACTTGGGACACCGGGCTTGGTTATAGGCATCAAGCATATACATAGGCTGAAAGTGTCAGACGTGGCATATGGCTATGTTATGGTTTGAAAGTGGACTGTTCCCCCACAGACTCAAGTGCTTGGACGCTTGGTCCCCAGGTGGCTGTGATGTTTGGGAGGTATGGGAAGACCTGAGCATTTGAAACCTTGATAGAGGAAATAGGTCACGGGTGGCAGAAGTTAAGATTCGATAACCAGTGTCTACTTCCTGTCTGTCTCTGCTTCCCGAGTGCCATGTGGTCAGTTAGCCCCTCCCTCCTGTCACCATGCCTACCCTTCCTCCTTGCTACCATGTGCTCCCAGCTATGATGGACTCTATCGCCTCTGGAATCACAAGTCAAAATAACAGCACCACCCCCTTAAGTTGCTTTTGTCAAATTATCTTATTGCAGTCACAGAATAGGAATTGATGCAAGTCCTTTGCTGCACAAGATGCCGAACTCAGTTAGAAGGTGGTGGCAGCTGGTGGGAGTTGAAGGAGCTGCTTAAAAGAGTTGAAGGCAGAGGGTCACCCAACAGGGATGTACTGGATGTGCCCAGCGCAGGATTATGTATTGAGTCTAGTATGTTTGGATGTTGACCGTGGCTGAGAAATAATGAGTGCACTGCATGTGGCAGCAATCTGAGGAGAGTGAGGAGGGTTAGGTGGAGTAGCTGGGTGGTGGCGGCACACACCTTTAGCCACAGCAGTAGGGAGGCAGAGGCAAGAAGATCTCTGTGATTCAAGGCCACCCTGGTGTACGGAGATCTGCTTGCCTCTGCCTCCCTAGTGCTAGGATTAAAGGTCTGTACCACCACCACCCAGCTACTTTATTTATTTATCTATTTATTTATTTAAATTATAAAGTTGCTGGCTGAGGACCAGGGCTTCTTATTGGCTAGCTCTGTCTTAATTATTAACCCATTTCTTTTTTTTCATATTTTTATTTAACTTTTTACACATGTCACTTTCAGTTCCCTTTCTCTCCCCTCCTCCCCCACTCCTCACCCCTCACTCCATCCCCCCTCCACTCCCCAGGGAGGGCAAGGACTTCCATGAGGGATTTTCCCATCCCCAGAAGGGCCTAGTTTCTTCCCCTTGTGTCGAGGCTGAGAGAGCATCCCTGGTACGGGTTCCCAGAGTCCATTTGTATGCCAGGAATACATACTGCTCTACTCTCCAAGGTCCCACAGATTGCCAAGGCCTCCACTCTGTCACCCAGGTTCGGTGGGAGGGATGTCTGGATCAGTCCCATGCTGGCCCCCAAGTCATCAGTCTGGGGTCCATGTGTTCCCCCAATATTAACTCATTTTTATCAATCTGTGTATTGCCGCCAGGCTGTGGCTTACCTGATAATGCCTGGCATGGTGTTACTCCCCTGGCAGCATCTCGACTCTGATAGACTCCTCCCTACCTTTTCCAGAATTCTCCTCATCTCCTAATCACTCCTGTCTTCCTGCCTAATTGGCAGAACAGTGTTTTATTAATCAACCAATAAAAGAAACCTATACAGAAGGACATCCCCCATCAGTTCGGACTACCATATCGGGTACTCAGGATCTGATCAGACTGGTGTTGGGAGAATGACCAATCATTTGGGAGTATTCTACATGTCCAACAATTCAGACACCCCAATAATTCTCCAGTCTTGCTCACTGTGGCTTCCCTCATCTTCATCTCTCTGCAGAATGTTCCTGAATGTGAATTTCCTGTTTGTCTCACTTCTGCTTATCCTGACTTTTTTGGTTGTTTTTATTTATTTTTTTTAGCATGGCTCCCTTGTTTGCTTTCACAGACCTATTGTAATCTTATTAAGCTGAAGGCATAGCCATTGGTGTGTGTGTGAGCTTTTCTGTAATAGAAGCCACCAGGGTAGTCTGCCATCTTGGAATCACATCACTAAAGTTCTTAGGACAGCTTTGAATCACTCTTTGACACTCTCCTTCCACCACAGCCCTTACGACAAGGGGAAAAGTCTTCTACAGGTCACCAAAGCCCACTTATCTCTCTTTTGTTCCCTCTCTTAGAGACTCAACTGTAAGGAATCAGAGATAATGTTCCCCCTTCTCTTCCTTCATTCTGTCCCCCGCCACTTGCTTTGATTTCCTTACTGGGCATAGGGTGGGTCCCACACACCCTTTCCTGGTAGATAATGACACAAGCATGCCCATAAAGATAAGAGGATGTTGGTGGCATTTATGGTCCTATTGCATTTAGCAAGTGGAGATGTGTTGGTGATTAGATGCTGGAATCAGTGTTGATGATACTCATATGCCATCTTATCCATGGTACTACACAAGTAATGGGCCCTCATAGAAAACAATCCATTCATAATGAAGCCAACTATGTTAACTATTAAAAACAAACTCTCTGTCTCATTGTGATAGTACACACCTGTACCTTCCACACTGGGAAGGCTGAGGAAGGAGGATCTAAAATCTGAGGCCAGCCTGGGCTACCTAATGAGAGTCCTGACTAAATGGAATGAAACGTGGAAAGAAAAAAAAAACTCAACCAACAAAAGCCTCCAAACCTTCTTAATTGTCTGGGATGGGGGTCACTTTGAAGACAAGGTTCTCTTCCAGTTACATGTGTTTTGCTTATTTAAAGATGCTACACGGGTAATAGCCATTAATTTGCTACCAGCATGTCTGTTACATTGGTTGTTGTCTGCACTGAAAGTTTACACTGAAATTGCTATCATTTCTCCTTTACCCAAATGGGAGAGTTTAAACAGCTGTTAGAAGCTACACTGGCCCATCCTCGGAGCCATGGTTCCCACTCTCCAGTGTAGAGGTTGTGGCATCTGTGGTCTCCCTGTGGTCACACACAGCTCTTCAAATGCAAAGGGCTCTATTACAAGGAATGACTTCCCTGAAGACTATTCCAGGAATTTGATGGCTCCAGAGTCCTGTGGTGACAGAGGCTCGGGTGGCTATAGACATGCATCATTCCTTGCTGTGTCAAGTACGACCTAGAAGCCACTTTGTGGGCAAGAGTCACAACCATAGAGACTGCCTGAAGATTCCTCGGGTCATTCACATTGTAAAGCAAACTGCTTCCTCCATGCTTCCCAGCTACCTGCCACAGAGTCTGACTCTTCAGACCGAAGTCCTTGTGCACCATGTCCCGTGCTCAGATGTGAGAGGTCGGTGTGGAAATCTCGTCATTGTCTGGCTCACTAAGGCCACGTGAGACGTGGTTGCTCACATCAAATCAATAGACAGCTAAACCAATGATTGTCGTAAGATACAGAATCAAAAAGCCAGCTTGGCCTGGATCTTCCAAGACCATCTTTCCCTTTGGGGAAATTGTTCCTCTCTGTCAATCAAGATTCTTTAACACCTTTCTCTGCTCAGTGTACTGTTTGCCCATCTCTACCCATAACCTTATCAAAAGGCATCTAGGGACCCCACCTATAAAACCTAGTCTCCACCTTTCCCAAATTGCTAATGAATAACTGCACCTCCAGTTTTATTGCTGGAGACCTGGAAAAAGTCACAATTCTTTCACTTACCTCACTTCCCAATGTCAGTCTCTAGCAAGTTCCATCAATTATTCTTCCCGCATTTTTCTCACTTCTTTCTACTCTTTCTCTACAATGTTGCAGCTATAAAGAGTCCAGAAATACTTTTGCCATTCCAAGGTCAAGTGACATCAATAGATGTTCCTGACTTCCTGTCTTCATACCATACCAAGAGTAACCACGACACCATGTCCTGTCTCTAGACTCTGACGACTATAATCTGATGGGGCCAGAGTGCCTGATTTGTTATTGCTATTGGTTGCTTGCTTGTTTTTGAAAAGGGAATTCAAAATCAGAGCATCCGGGTGTTGCTCTGAAGGATGCTTGCTTATCTCGGAATGAAATCTTGGACCAGAGTTTATAAAATCAGATTGTTGCATCAGCACTGAGCTAGGTTGCCCCATGTGGATACGGGATTAAACATTGGCTTCTATTTATCCTCCACTCCTGCCACTAAGCAGAGAGATGCTTAGGCAAACTCACTTCCTGGTGAGGAAGGTACCCTCTATTAGTAATTAGCAGTCAAGTGTACCTTATCAACCTGTCCCCCAAACCTGAGTACAAATGCTTGCAGTTGTCTTGATGTCTCAAGCAGTGTCTGTGTCAGTGGGTCCTGACTCCTGACTTCACTTACGTTGAAGAATGGAGAGTTACTATTTTGTTGCTGCAGGTTGCTGCACCAGAGCTAGACAGATCTTCTTCAGAGCTATGTGTGATACAAGAACGCCATCAGTTAAGGCTTCTCTCCTCAGGATGACCAAGCTCTCTGTGAGAGAGGCAGGCTGGTGGCAGCGGCTTGGAGGACTCAGAGAGGAGAGCTGGCAATGAGGACAACCTGAAGTTCCTGAACCCAGTCCTGGGGCATCATGTAGATCTCAGACTCATGCATTCTGCTATTAAATTGATACCAGGAGGGGACTGTAGGATAAGGGGACACTTTACAAGTCCCCCCTCCCCTCTGTCCCAGGTTGCCTTAGTCCTTACTTGAGCCCACCAACTACTTAATGCATATAGTCATCCCTAGTAATCTGTGGATGCTAAAGTCACACAATGAGCCAAAAGGATATGATCAAAACATGTTGCATAAAGTAGCATAAACATTAATATTGCATCACACTGATTATACATTGACCCTTTTTGTCTTTACTCTCTGAGCAGCATGGTGTGACAACTATTTACATACTCTTAACAGTTGGTTTTCAGCAGGCTTTTGTTAAGTAGACTACAGAAGGTTTAAAATACACAAGAGGATGTGTGTAGGTTATATGCAAACCCTATGTATAGTATTGTATATAAAGGTCTTGAGCAACTTTTGATGTTAGTATCCATGGCAGAGGGTTAGGAGTTGAAACCTATTCCCTGTAGATAACAAGGTCGGATATACACACATCAACTTCTCCTTGCTGATCTAAATATAAGTTGAAAGATTTTAGAAAGATGATGGTGAGTAGGCCAGATAGGAGAATCTGAAAGGGCTGAGAACAACTGAATATCTTTGAATCATAACTCACATACTTTGATATCCTCTACTTATTGTGGGCATTGGAAAACAGGACTCTGGACTCTCAGAGAAGAGAGCCTAGTGTGCAGGGATCCTGGTACAGTTTTGAGTCGATTTCTGCTAGCCCGAATGCTGTTTCGTTCTGCTGTCACTACCCTCTGATGGCTTTGCTTCTGTCAAGTCTGAGGGACACAGGCCATGGGCTTGAGGAACGCCTGGGAAGGCTGTGCAGGGATGTGGAACAGGAGGAAGGTCATGGTCAGGGAAAGGTGAGCTGGGCTAGAAAAATCAGCATGGTGGATGAGGAGGAGGAAGAAGAGGACACACATGGGGATGTGACATCAATTGCTCTTGATACAAAACAAACCATAAGAGCACCAAAGATTCAAATGCTCGACAGAGACCAGGACTGTGGAGAAGGCTAACCAGAAGGGAGAGGAGACAGCAGCTACAGCCCAGCCCAGCTCAGAAGCCTTTCGATTCTACAAGGCCCTTGGGTCAAACCATGAGAAAATGGTAGCAAGCTCCCTTGGACTTGTCCCCTGGTCCTCTGAGGAGGTGGGTGCTCATCACCCCATGCTTTCTTCAGCATGCTAGTATTGTCAGCTTCTAGTCTCTCCTGCCTGCCTTCCAGGTACATGCCCCTGATTCCGTCTGTATGTATGTATGTATGTATGTATGTATGTATGCATGCATACATATATATGCATGTATATGCTATATATGTGTACTGTCCAAGATGCTGCATTCATTCACTCACTCATTCATTCATTCATTCATTCATTCATTCATCCCCCTTAACTCCACCCAGTCACAATTCATTGCTGTCCACCCTGACATCTCAATGGAGTCGTTTTTCTGCCTCACCCCAAGTCCCCATCCATCCCTTTTCTCTTCTTTTTTTCTTCCCAATGGCAGTTTTTTTTATTATTACAGGAGAAAACTTATGAAAATTGTTGAAACATGGACTACAAAGCGATTCCTTATTTTTTTTTAACATTTGGTGGGGAGCGCCTCACCCCCTTGTCCCCCCCAAAAGGCAGCCGTGTCAAAGACACTGCCTCCCCCCTTTGACATTCACGCCGTGCTCAGAGTCAGCTGGGGTCTCCGCTCTGACAAATTTGCATCTCTTTGAATGTGACGCTTGAAAAAAGCCCGAGCCGCTAGATTAAATTTTTTTTTTCCGTCGAGAAAATGAGAAAAGCCTCTATCTTTCGCTGAGTCTACTGGGAAGATCTTTATTCTGATTCTTGTTAGAATTGTTTATCACCCTGACAGGCCAGACTCGGACGAGATAAAGGCTTAGCTGCATCACGGGGCCTGACAGTGGTGGGACACGCAGAAAAATGAAAGGAGCCGGAGAAAATATTATTAATAGATGCCGACTCGCTTTGCCTGCATGGCACGTCAGGGAAGGAGAGGGATCCAGGCTTGATTGCAGGCCTATGAAGTTCTGTCCAAAAAAAGCAGCCATTTTTCATTAAGTGATAGAAGGGCCTTTTTCATGTTCCTTCCTGAGGAGCTGATAACTTATGCAGTTTATTCTAACCCTGCTGATTTCTGTCAGGGGAAGAAAACTGAAAGATGGCTTTGCCTTGTCCTTTACGGAGAGCAGGTTGGTTTGACAGGCTCACGAGCCAAATCAGGGAGGTCCGGCCTGGACGGGCTCAAGGTGCCTGGACTGGGGTGTCTGGTGTTTCTTGTGAGTGTCAAAGACTGGGGAAGGGGAAAGAAGGGTAAAAGCCGGAACCCTGTCAGCTCCTCAGGGTTACCTTGGCAACACCGGTCTGTATGCACTGGCCTCCTAAAGAGCCACGTTCGGGGCTGTGAGCATGGACACCCGCAGTCAAGGATCAAGGTGCCAGCTATGTTGGGGACATGAAGCAATGACCATCTTTTTGCTTTGTCTTCACAGGTCACTTCCCTGGAAAGTCTCTTCCTTGAGTCTCCACCTCCTAAGAGGACACCCACCGTGTAGTCAGGGTGCCATTCTCATGAATGCATTTCACCTGGATTGCTTTCAGAGAGGCCCCATCTCCATGCACAGAGGCCTGCTGAGGTACTGACGAGCCCTTCCACAGCATATGTGAAGAAACATTTGAGTTACCACCATGTGAAAGGAGGTTTTCACTTGTACCATTCTGGAGTGAGGTACAGGTTCTGGGCTGGGCAATGACAACAGCAGTCACCCAGGTAAGAGGTTCAGGCTATCAGACTGTCCTTGGATGGCCAGACCAAGAGTTTCCTGACCCTGGAAGACCCTCATGAGTACTGCATGGAGACAGTACTTTCTCGTTGATGGGACAGCCATGGGTACGACTCATTGACTGGAGTGTGTAGCTGAGTGTCCTATAGCAAGACACTTAAACCCCTGTGTCTGTTTCCTCTCCTGTACAAGTGATGCATTTTTTTTGCTGTCCCAACTGGATGGAGAATGAAAGTGATGAGGAATGTATATTCCGGGTCCTCATTTATGCTGGAGGCTCTGGTAGGCTGTGAGTAAGTACCACAGATGCTGAGATGTGGGCTAAGGGGGGTGAGTCAACCCAAATGGGCCACACTCTTCACAGCAGCCCACAGTGATGACTTTGTGGTCTTTGTCTGGTTTTAGGGTTCCGCTATGCATTCACAGTGAATCAGAGAGAGCTGTTCTCAGAAGTCTGTGGGAACCGCTGGGTTTCCTTGTAACCTGAGCATCAATCCTGCCTGTATGTGGAGGTCAGAATCTTAGTTGGGGCTTCTTAAGGCACAGCAGTGACTGTCCATCAGCCCCAGGGAACCACACAATTCACCCCAGTCAACACTTTGAGATACGGACAGAAAAAAAAGACAGTCTGGGTGAGACCAGAGAACCTTGACTAAGGAAACAGACTTACGTGTCAACATAGGTATCCCTCTGCCGCGACAGGGTCATTTACCACTTTAGAACATGATTTGACCCATTTAAGCTTCAGGGCCCTCATGCATAAAGTGGAAGTGACATTATTGGGGACAGTGGTATGTGTTAAGTAAAATATCTGCAGTGGTCAGTGTGGTATCTAAAACACAATGAGCTCCTGCTTCTATAGTGGCCGTGACGCTGTTGATGATGGCAATGATGAGGTAATGATGCTGTTAATGGAGATGATGACAGTAACAATGAGGTGATGGTGATGATGATGGTGGCAATGATGATGAGGATGTTGATGGTGATGACACAATAATGTTCATAGTGATGAGGATGGAGATGTTGGTGATGATAATGATGTTATCAGTGGTAATGATGACGGAGATGATGTTGATGTTGAAATGATGCTGATGATTGTGATGCTGGATGACGGAGATGATGATGATGATGTTGAAATGATGCTGATGATTGTGACGCTGCTGTTGCTGATGGAGGTAATCATTCCCTTGATAGAAAAAGAGTACACAACACATGGCATATATCAAGCCCTTTCTTCACTCTACCCGTACTTCCTTCAGTTTAATCCTTGCCATCACTTCATTGAGTGCCCATCATTATTATCCTTAAGTTAGTGACCTAGACATCTTTGGTCACACAGTCACTGAGGAACTCCATGGTTAGTAGTGATAGTGCTGGAAGTTGTCTGGGGAGATAGATGGAGAGAGCCTCTTTTTACTACATGAACTAGAACAAATTGCCAGATATCTCCAGGAGATAAAGGGTTGAGTCCCAGAAGAATGCCATCACTTTACCATCTGGAAGATGAATAGAATCCCTGACAGACTGCATACACAGTCATATGATGAGGCATGCAGATTGGTAGAAAGCATTGGTAGAAGAATTGTAGATAAACAAGGCTGATCAGGAACTGAAGAGGGATTGGAATATACCTTAGTTGGTAAAGTGAACATTCTGTAATAATGATAATAATGATAGCTTACTTTTGGCCATCAGAACCCATGTAAAACTCTGGGTATAGCAGCATGCATTTACAACAACAGTGATGGGGAGGTGGCGACAGGAAGGTCCCTGGGATTTCTGATCAGGCATCCTAGTTGAATCAGTGAGTTCCAGGTCAACAAAGCTAAAGGTGTTCTTAAACACTGAGCCATTCTGCTAGCCTCCAGTATTGCTGACTTAAAATTTAAGGCTATGGAAGGAGCTACACATGTAATGTAAGCGTGACAGACATTTATTATGGGCTGTGCTAAGGTTCAGATCTAATGATAGATAGAATGGGGAGTATCTTGGTCACTGTTCTGTTACTGTGATGAGACATCATGGTCACAGAAACTCTAATAAAGGAAACCATTTAACTGGGTCCTGCTTATAGTTTTAGAGGTTTAATCCATTATCATAATGGCAGAGACCTTGGTGGCATGCAGGCAGGCATGAGGTGATGATAATGATAATACTGCTGATGGTGGTGATGAGGAGGAGGAGGGTGGAGATGATAATGGGGATGATGCTGATGATGACGTTGAAATGATGTTGATGCCAGAGAAGTAGCTGAGAGTTCTACATCCAGATTTATAGGTAGCAGGAAAGAGAGAGAGAGATAGGGCCTGGCTTTTGAATTCTCAAAGACTACCCCCCGCCAGTGACACACTTTCTCAAACAAAGTTGCACCTATTCAACAAATCCACATCTTTTAAGTCTTCTCAAACAATGCCATTCACTAATGACTAAGAATTCAAATATTTGTGCCTGTGGGGTCAATTCTTATTAAACCAATGTAAGAAGGCATGGCAAGATTTTTGAGTAGAGAATTAGCTTGGGGGGACTCATATTTCAATCATGAGTGAGGCTCTCTCACATCTTGAGCTGTTGACACCATGATTTGCATTTGTGAGCAGTTCAATATCCCCATGAACTCTGATCACTTGGGTCTACCACAAAGGGCATCTTGACCTCCTCTGAATAAGATGTATGTTTTGGCTAGAGATAAGTCACTTAAGCTCTGCTTCCATGGATATCAACTCTTGTAGTGCAGGTGATGATGCCTGGAAATCATGGACCATCAAAGTTGATCATCATCATAGGGGTGACTGAATTTGGCTCATCCTATAGAGGTTCTTTGAGAAGTCTTGAGTCCCTGCTGCTGAGATTCGGGATAGCATGCTGAATTTCAACATGTGTGTAGAACACCAGAAGCTGCCTGTCTTACAACCCCCACAACTTACTGACCATGTGGCTGAGGGCTGCTCTAATCCACTGCCTTCTATCTGTGGATCTTTCCCAATCTTTCCCATGGGCAGAACACACCACAGTCAGGTCACAGAGTGTAGACCTATAGCTTCAGCTGCAGCTTTCTGTAACCAAGATATCCAGGACAGGCTTATGGCTAAATGGTCTTAGATACATATACAGCTCCCCTCTCTGAATACTGGCCCTGTCACAGAGGAACTCGGGTGCAGAGTTCACATGAGGGTAGCTACAATGTTCATTGTATATAGTCAACCATAGCCAAAGCCAGTGAGGACCAGGAGATGATCAGGGCTATCCAAGTCATTGTCAAAGGGATGGAAGTCCCCTGAGCACAATGTCCTTTATAATAGTTCCAACCTGAATTTGAACTAAAACACTACATCCTTATTTGTTGGTTGGGTGGCCGGCTAGTGCAAACCTTGAGCTTAGTCTTTGTTTATAACTAGTTAAAACAATTTCCCAAGGAGAATTTTCAAATGTGATCCAGATAGCTTTGTGGTCTAAGACAGTCCTCAGTGGGTGGTCATCGTATTCTGTAAGAGGCCCCTGAACCTCAAAATCATGTGCTGTGTGGATCTCATGGATGTTAGTGCAGAGCAATATGGTTATAAACCACTAATGCTGACAAACTGCTAAGGTCTATGGACGCCCAAATATATTTAAGGGATCCGATACGGCAGCACCCAAGATAGGTGCAGCTGAAGTAATGCTGCAACTCAGAGTCCAGGTCCTTTCTGTCATGGTGCTCTGTCACGACTGAGTAGTTTGCCTTTGTCATGTTCAACTAACTGCCGGGAAGCAGTTGAGAGCATGAAGTAGAGCCACTGTTCCTGAGAACATTTGGCAGAGGGGACCCTTATCACTTAGTTCCATTCCGTTAGTGAGAACTAAGCTTGAGGGAGGTCGGCGTGAAAGGACTGAGGTGGAAGAGGTGTGTGCAGAGGAAGAGCAGGAAGCTGGCTTTAGCCAGACAGCAGTCTATTCTGCTTACACAGGGTAAATGGTGTGTGTGCATGTGTACATGCATGTATGTGTATGTACATGTACATGTCTGTGTATGTATATGGATGTATATGCATATGTGTGCGTGACTAGGTATGTGAATGAGTACATGTATATGTGTGTATGAGTGTGTATGTATGTGCAGTGTGTGAGTTGTATGTGAGAGTATATATATATGTCTATACATGGATATATATGGATACATGTATATGGGTATACATATATGTACATATGTCTATGAGTGCATATTTTTGAATGTATGTCTAAGTGTGCATAGGATACTGCATGGGTATGCATATGAGTGTGTGTGTGTGCATGAACATAAGAGTGTATGTATGTGAGTATGTGGGCATGTATACTTACATATATATGTATCTATACATACAAGTATGTATGTATGTGTGTGTGTATTATTGTCTGTGAGTGTGTGGGTGTGTGTTGTAGGCATTGTCCAACAAAGCTTTGATTGGAGAATTGGTAATGTTTAATACATAAATTTCAGCTAAATCACTTTAATAATAACTATTTTATTTCTGGTTTCACAGGCCTCAATTGCCTTGCTGCCTTAGTTTGTCTTTCTGTTGACTTGTTTCTGCTGAATAAAGGAGACAGGTATCCTTGAGGGCTTACTCCGTGCCTACGCTCTGCCTGGTAGGGTCATGCACACCATTTCCCTGGCTCCTGGTCCTTCACAGATAAGGACATGGAGGCTGAAGCAGCAGCACTCTTCGGCTCCTGGAGGGGGGACTTTGCAGATGGAATTTGAACCTTGGTTTCCCCACTTTTCTCCTGCAGCCGTCTCCCTGAGGGAGCAGCACAGCCCCCACCATCCCATCTGAAGCTTGTGGACACTGTGAAGAGTAAGGATGGACATGGAGTGGCACATAGTGACAGACCTGGTGCCCATAATGAATGTTCAGGAATACCCATCCGTCCAAAGAGGCACTCTCAGGACTGTCTCAAACTCCAGACCGCCTTTCATTGTTTCTCTTTTGCATATGAGCACAGACAAGAGAAATATGCTTCTAAGACAAAATAATAAATGAAGTGGAGGTGATGCTAGGTAGAAGTCAACATTGTGTACAAAGATGACAGGGTGGTTGCGGTCATGCCCAGCAGGGAGTGAGTGTCATGAAAGGCAAGGGCCAAGCTCTCTGCAGGTTACAGCCACTTCAGTACAAGCAGAAATGAGGTCATGGTGGCCTTGGCTTCCAGATTGTCAATGGAAACTGAAAATCAAGCTGTAAAACTCCTATGTTAAATATTGGATTGAACCGGGAATAACAAAAAACAATAACAAGGTCCAATCAGTTCCTGGTGCAGGCTGGATTCAGCACCTGGGACAGCGACCTGGTCCCTCTGCAGTGCAGGCTGAGGTGCCCGGTTTGCAGGCTTCTCCTTCACCATCTCTGGTGGCTCTTTGTGCTATGCACAAATCCACAGCCCTGACAACGACAGGGATCCTGGGGCTTCCATTTGGAATATTCCAGGCAAGTACAGGGAAAGCCTGACTGCCCACCTTCAGCCAGCCAAAAGACAAAGGCAACAAATTGACTCTAGACCTTGGGGAAAACCCGCTCTCCTGGGTGGAAAGCACATGCACCTTCTGCAGCAGTGCAATTGGGAGCTGCAGAGACATTCAGACATGTGCCCGGTCTGTGTTGGCAAGTGATATGACTGCACCCCATGAGGTGCAAAGCGCCGGGTGTGTGTGTGTGTGTGTGTGTGTGTGTGTGTGTGTGTGTGTGTGTGTGCCTGTGTGTTCATACTTGGTGTGACATGCTGCCACCCAGTTTTCCAAGTGATTTCTAACTTGAAGTTGATGAGATGGGATATTGTGTCTTTTTAAAAAATGTAACCAACAACAAACTTTACTGAGTGTAATTTTAGCGAGGGTACAAGTTTGCCAAGGTGCAGTATGTGATCGTGTAGTGAATGTTTTGACAATATAGTGTATATGTGTGTCTGTGTCTGCGAGCATGAAGGAGGCAGAAAAAAATAGCGACATATACTTTTTAAGGAAGTGAAAGCAATAAAAGAGGGCCACAAAATTTAGATTGGGAAGCTGTTGACATTTGCTGTTGTCATGGGTTTTCTTGGAAGCTTTTTGTCTATATAAAGAGACACCCAAATATCCAGATAATTCTTTAAATATTCTTCCAGCACATATCCTTGGAGTCTGTTCATTGCTTGGCAGTCCTAGATGTGCCTAGATACCTAGGGCATGGTTCCCATGCTCCAAGGCCCTGCAGTCCACTTGGAACAGTCATGTGGGTCCATGGGCAACTGCCATCAATTCAGTTAGTGCCAGAGTGGCCAGTTCTACCATTGAGATTCACATGAATTCTTCCTACAGTAACAGGCAGGTTGCAGCTGATTCAGTTGATAACAGGGATCAGACAAGATGCTTTCAGTAGGATGTCTCCATTTTGCAACAACCATATTAGATAACATGTAGAGGAAGAGGGGTTTGTGTGGTGGAAGGCTGCAGGCTTAGATCGGTCACTTCCATGCTGAGATGCTTGGTAACTCTACTTAATCTCTCTCTGTGTCTCTCTGGGTTTCTGTCCCTCTCTCTGTGTGTGTGTCTTTCTCTGTAAGTGTCTGCACACACACATGCATATGTGTGTTCAAGTGTATAGCTATGGTGTGTGTGCGCACATGCGTGTGTGTGTGTGTGTGTGTGTGTGTGTGTGTGTGTGAGCTAGAAGATGGCAATGAGTGCTATCCTCCAGCCCTTACCTTGTTTTGACCAGTGAGCCTGGGGTTCTCCCTGTCTCTGCCTTCCCACCTTTAGGCTCACACACTTGCATACCAAACCTTTGGATTTTTTAAAACATGGGTTCTAGGGACCAAACTCAGGTTCCATATTGGCAAAACAAGTACTTTGCTGGTGGAGCTGTCTCTTAGGATCACTTTCCCAAATCTTTTTTTTCTTATTTATTTTTAAATTTAAATTTAGATTAGAAACAAGGTTGCTTCACAAGTCAGTTCCATGTCCCTCTCCGTTTCCTTTCCCTCCTCCCGTGCCCTCCCCCCAAGCCTCCCAATATCCCCTCATTTCCCCAGGGAGGGTGAGGCCCTCCGTGGGGGTGTCCATAGTCTGTCATTTCATCCAGGGCAGGGTCTAGACCCTCCCCCAAGAGTTCAGGGTGAGAGTGCATCTCACATTGTTGGATGGGAGTCCAAAGTCCATTTGTATACTAGGGATGTATACTGATCTACTGCCCAAGGCTCAATAGATTACCTAGGCCTCCTCACTGACACCCCCATTCAGGGGGTCTTGATCAGTCCCATGCTGGATTCCCAGGCATCAGCCTGGGATTCAAGAGCTAACCCTTGTCAGGTCAGCTGTTCCTGGGGGTTAAACCAGCCCAGTCTTAATCCCTTTGATCATCAGTCCTCCCTCTCTGTTACTGGCTTTCTTGAGTTGAGCTCAGTACTTAGACGTGGGAGTCTGCCTCTTCTTCCATCAGCCACTGAATGAAGGTTCTGTTTCCCAGACTCTCTGGCCATGGGATTGTAGGCTGGCACTCCCCAGATCTATATCTAAATTCCATATATGAGAGAGTACATGCCATGTTTCTCTTTTTGTGATTGAGTTACCTCACACAGGATGGTTTCTTCTAGTGCCATCAATTTGCCTGCAAAATTCAAGATTCCATTGTTTTTTTTCTGCTGAATAGTACTCCATTGTGTAGATGTACCACATTTTCTCTATCCACTCTTTGGTTGAGGGGCATCTAGGTTGCTTCCAAGTTCTGGTTGTTACAAATAATGCTGCTATGTACATAGTGGAATAGACATCCTTGTTGTATGAATGGGCATCTTTTGGATATATGCCTAAGAGTGGAGTTGTTGGGTCTTGTGATAGGTTTATTCCCATTTTTCTGAGGAATCTCCATACTGATTTCCAAAGTGGCTGAACAAGTTGGCACTTCCACCAGCAATGGAGGAGTGTCCCCCTTTCACCACATCCTCTCCACACTTTCCCGAATCTTATTGTTCTCCTGGGTGCACGTCTATGATTTGGAGATTATATGATGTTAGTTTTAGTTTGGCTTCCTAAGAAACCACCACAGGATTCACTGGCTAAAAGCAAGGGAGATGGCTCAGGGGTAAAGCACTTGCTGTGAGAGAATGGGGACCTGGGTTCTGCTCCCCTTGGCTCCTCAAACACGGATGTGGTATGGTGCATTTGTAATCCTTGTTTGCCTATGGTGGAGAGATGGGAAGTAGAGACAGTAGAATCCTAGATGTTTGAGGGACAGCTAGCTTGGCACATGCAACAGCCAACATGAGACCTTTTATCAAACAAGCTGGAAGGCGAAGGCAGACAGCCAAGCTTGTCCTTTTTCCTTCACATGCGTGCCATGGCATGCACACGCCAGCACATGCATAGCATAAGTGAAAAGACAAAAAAACCATTGTCCAAATAGCTACCTTCTTTTTTTACTTCTTCTACATTTGCGATTCCACTGAGGCACATCTGATGGAGACTGGACTCTGTCTAGTGGTCCAACTACAGCAGTTCTGTGTTTCCTTCTTACCGTTGGTCTAGGTATGGAGTGGGTTGACTCAACATCATATGTCTTTCATTTCCCTTGGGCAGATGAGTGTCCCAAGACACATTCTTCTCCTGGAAAGAGCAGAAGTGCATGAAGACAGATTCCATCTCACTAGCATCTTGAAGCTCTTTGATAATACCTCAATAATGATGCTTTATTGAACAAACTATAATCATGAAGCTAAGCACAGAGTCATTCCTTATGTGGAGTGGCAGATGCTTCCTGTAGGACCTGGACTGGGAGAAAGGATAAACATTTGTGTGTGTGTGTGTGTGTGTGTGTGTGTGTGTGTGTGTGTGTGGTACCAAAGGTTGAACCCAGAACCTCTCAGAGTCTTGGTCAGAGTTTGTGTGTGCCACTCAGCTATATCCTTAGGAAAGAATAAATATTATATTTCTGGGGAGTAATCTATTCTACTAAACCACCTCCCTTCTATTGCCATTTTTAGGAACTATGCATAAAAAGTTGTAAGATATGCTTAATAGAAACTTAAGATACTGACATTTTTATTTGGTAGACGGTGCTCTGAGAGATCACACAATTGTTTGTGATTACAGAGTGATCACAATCCAAATATCTACTGTGCAATTTCCTATCCTTTTATGGAAATATGTGATATTGGGAGGGGTCGTGTCCTAAGGTTACCTAAAGGGTAAAGTACACATTGTAAATATCCAAGTTGTCCCTAAGAGAATGTGTTTCAGAGCTTGAAAGTCCAGAGAGTGAACTTTGCTGAGTAGAGCAACCTCAATCCCTAGGAGCTGAGGCAGGACCACAGAAGTCTTACTGAGTCCTGAAGTACTGAAAAGTAGGAAATGTAGCACATGGGCATGCACTGGGACCCTATTACTAGGACAAGGACACTAGACCATGGACTGGAACTCCCTGGCAAGAGCATGCACCCACAAACTCTCAATGGAATGGGGAACCTGCCCCGGCTCCTGGAGCTCTCCCATAATATTCAACTCGTTGAGGGCAGAGGGAGTCGTCTGACCCCCACTTTTCCTTCTTTGAGGATGTTGCATTATGGGTACTGTGTTTTTCAGAAC